TTAGAGGCAGGCTTGAGTTGCGAAGTTGTAGCGCCTGTTTGTGGGGCGAGGTGTTTCCTCCTCCTAATAAGGAGGAGAAACAAACCACCACCAACTCCGCACAACAATTATAGATTCGGAGGTCCTATTTATGGGTATCCTAAGTTTATACAAATACTACACTTGATACTAGCCCAGAGTTTAGTTAGCTTTACCTCACTATGGTGCATTTTTTTGAACGAGAAGCATCGGTATTACGAACGAACTCTCCGGGGATTTATCCCCCTACCCGCATTTAAACGGGTCTCCCTATGCGAAAATACTGCACTGATAATATGCGATGCGGCGAGACACTGCTCTATTTCACAAGATCTGATACGCCCCCTAGGGTTAATGTTGAAATCAAAGGCAGAAACTAATCTGTTTTACGAGCATTACCACTCCTCACTTGCTGAGGGATTTGTGCAACACCCATGAGTTTGTAGATCAAGAATACCTACAAGCAAGTGTTGGAGTGCTGAGCTCTCCCGTTTTTATCTAGCAACTAGCGATCATCCATGCCTTCTTTTCCCCTCCTCATTTCTGTCAACTACCAACTCCTTCCCCGCATAGCCGAAGAGATTCCTCATTCCACTGATGGTGGAGCCTCACCCCTTTCTCATAATACCCTATGCTTAGCCTTTGGTTCCTCCGACCCAGACGAATAACACCTCCGGTTCTCATTTTTTCCTTTTCCTCATTCCAAATATATAAGACACTGCTTTGACATTCAGTTCAATTGATTAAGTTAGAGAGCTCATACACTTTTACACACGCATTCAGATGCTAACTACGGTCCGTCAAAGCAGTAAGGACACTCACCAGTTGAACTAGTGAGCGGGTAACAGAATAACGATGGTTCTAACCCTACTCACTTGGTCGATGTTACAGGCTCAGCACGGGCCGGTGCTCTCCCGGGATTTTTGCCTGGAGCGACTACGGGCTATGATCCCGCTTCTGGAGCTTATCTGACCAGGTCAGGCCTGTCCCCAGGTGTTGAATATACGAGAACGGATACGTACAGGCATTGTGAACATTCACAGATATACGCGACTCTTTATCTACCTCTGATACCTGACACCCAAGCCTGCGCCTCATGTTTGCTCTCGCTTCTTTTGTTTCTTTTCTTTCTTTTCGAACTCTCATGAAGATCAATCCGCATCCTTCAACACTCCATCAAATCGCACCTTTCCCTTTTCTCAGCTCTCTCTTCTTGCTCTTGGCTCTTGGTGAATAAGCTCAATTCTATTCTCACTTTTCTCACGGTTCTCATCCGGTTCGGTAAAACACTCGTAGGAATCATTGACATTACCGTTCAATCAACCACACTTTCTATCACCAGGTATCTGCCGGCTTCCGAGTGATCGGACATGATTCTTCGAGTTTTGGAGTATAATAAGTTCCAATCTAATTTATCCTAGACTACACCTCCCCGGTTTCAAACTTGCCAATCCCCCAATAAAAATGCAAAACTAATCAAATACTACCATGAAGACTCATCACAGCCACTGGTCCTAAATATATGCCAAAAATCACCACCACGACTCACCGGCGTGATGGCGAGGCTATGCGAAGCGGAGGTGAGAAATCACGATGTGGATGGAACTGAAGGTGAAGTGAGAGGAGTCGTTCGTGTCTTCTCCCCGAAGCACCGAAAGCAAACTAAATACAAAGTGCAAGGATGACAGCCATTCCTACAGAGGGTTGTTCATCCTAAAAACAAACAAACAAACAAAAACATCATATCACCAAATAAGGGCTCACACTCTCGGCCCTCTCCGCCACCTACATGCATCTCCATACATCTCTCTACCTCACTGCACTTGCTCCCCCATATCTCGCTGTTGGGATCATGCTATCACGGCGCTCAGGCAGTTCGATCTCATCTCAGATTAACGCCTCTTCTCATTTCACAACCTCTCTCCCTAAATCTACCAAGCAGTTTGGTCCTCTAATCCTGGTAATATATCGCTCTTGGGTGGCAAAAAAAAAAGTAACCCCAACAAGCCTGAGAACCCCTCACATGATCAAATACTCGATAAACACGTACCAAATTCATAGCACATAGAATCATGTTCGTCTTGGCACACCCGCCGGCAATCGAGGTCTTCTCAGAAGTGCCAGGCAATAGGTACCACGGGCCTATCCGTCGCCTTATATTCAATGGTTGCCGGGACATCCAGAACAAGCAGGTATTCGCGGTAGACCGAACGAGCCGCCACGACATCTGCAAGGTGACGGAGGGGAGCATACAAGCTTCACCGTGCCTAGCTCTCTAACACCAATGACGAGTGGTGGTATGGTTCGTCTCTGCAACCCGACCCTTGAGTTCCACGAAAACCCTCCTGTAAAATGGGTTCCCAGCGGCCACCCAAGAGCCATCCCCCACCGTCGCCCGGGTGGGAATACCAAGCCGAGGGACCGGTGCCGCAACCATCACGCTCTCCAGCACGGAATCGCAGAATGACCAAAAAGCTCCAGATGCCTGGTTCGGCCTCCCAAGTATTCCGCACGCCTCGTCAGATGCAAGGTCCCACCGGATATGCCTTGGTGGGGGTTTACTGGTATATGGGTTAAAACTTTGTGCATGTATGTGACTGATGAGCGATATATCACCTCCGCCATTATTGCATACGGGAGTAGGGAGAGAATGGTCACCAGTCCAGATTTTGGTGTGGATCCGGAGTGTAAATGCGTACTCTCGCATAAATACCCAGGCCCAGCCGGATCGTCAGGATGAGAAAAGTGAGGAAATGGATTTCCTCGCTACGTCTCATGTCTTCTAAAAACAGCTTTTCTTCTCCGAACGGCCCCTCACCTCCGGACTTGTAGCCTCTCTTCGATATCTTTTCAACAAGATAATGAGATACCGCATATTCACTAGTGAGTATACCATATATCTTCCATCTCGTAAGCAAGAGGAATAAAAATAATTAATGTTTCCCTCGGGGGTTGGTTAAATTTGTGTTCTGATATTGGACAAGGACCGATATTTCTCAATATGATACACTAGACGGCAGCTCATTGGCTCTAACCCGTCGCACTATCAAGACGGCAGCAGAGGTAGCTTGCTAACTCCTTTTAGGGTACTCCGGGGATCTGCCTGCCTGGCGGGTAGGAAGGGAGCAGGTTGTGATTCGTACTCCGTTTGGTCCTGGGCAGGGTATGGAATTTAGTTTTTGGCGGAAGCACCGGGAAGACAGATGTGCTACAAATTTTTATAACCACTTAGGATGAAGGGCCACGTAAGGACTAGGTAGGGCTAAAAAGGGAAGCCATCGAGGAGTTTGGTAGCAAGTAGGGCATGGGAGGCTGGTGGGTATCTCGTCCTGTGTGTATAATACTAGCATCAAGGCACATGGTTGGATGATAACAAACGAGTGATTTATGATTGAAGGGTAAAAGTGTGAATACAAGTAGCTTATTGGATGGGAAAGGACCCTATTTCAAATTAACCAGGAAAAATTATATCATTAAAAATGCCCAACACCTCCGTACTTCGCTTCAACAGATCGCAACCCGTAGGCTCTCGCTCGTCATTCTTGCTCCTTCCGTCTGGTCCACAATTGATTACCGTAGATTCCTACAGTACCCCACCCCGGTAGGGGCTAGTAGTCCAGGCCTTCCACATTTCGTCCAGCCAAACTAGCTGAAATATGATTAATTATTTTGCGGGCTTGTCGCCCTTGGGGGAGACTACTCACCTCGGCAAATAACGGACAACATGGCGAGCAAATTGTGGCCGCTTATCCTAAGGGTTTCCTGGTAGCGCCTGTCATGTACGCCGCTCTACCGTTTCTGAATCACCACACACTCCTTGTAATCGCAGCAGCGTAGCCAGGTTGTTGGCACTCAATTGGGTTTTGGGATGGTCGGGCCCAAGAATCTTCTCACGCCCCTCTAGTGCACGCCGATTCATCCTCTCTGATTCGTTGTACCTGCCTTGGTATTGCGGTACGAGAGCCAGGTTGCCGACACCTGTTAGGGTGTCTGGGTGGTCTGGCCCAAGAATTA